ATGACATAGCTAGTGGGAGAGTGAGCAAAAGAGAGTCATATGTAACTTCTACTAAACAAGCATAACGTAGAAATAAACTTAGTAACTCAGCTATACTAGAGATTAGAAAGAGTTTCTTAGCACTTCGGGGCACAACCCGCCTTAGCTAACCCTGAGGGATTAACTACACGTGATTGCAACGAGCCCTACGATTCAAGAACTAGACCCAACATGGTGGAATATAGAGGATGGATAGGGCTACCACCACCTTTCACCTACCACTAACTATCTAGGGATCTTGTCGTTTCCATAGGCAAGCTATAGCCTAAGCACCACGCTTAATCTATAAACTCACTTCTTCAATTCTAAGTTCTGATGAAATGAGATTGGAGCACCCTAACCAAATGGTGGAACCCGTACTAAAGAAGATCAAGCTAAGCAAAAGATAACTTATGCTACTAAGCTTAGAACAAGCTCCAAAGCACACTAGAGCTAAGTAAGTAAGCTTGGACTAAGTACTTGAGCAAAATAAACTTATATTACTAAATAGAGTAAGAGTACACAAAAGGAAAGGTACTATAAAGGAAAGATACAAGAGAGCTTAAATCAAACCCAAAACACTCTTCTGAACTCCAAGCAAAGCTTCGCTCTAGCTCTAATTTCTAATTACTAGCCTAGGTACTAATCTAGAGCTACTCCTTGAGCTTGAGAGAGTGCCTCTTGCTTGTATTTTTGTGTGTGTCTTCTTCCTGAGCTCCATACCCCTATTTATAGTGTATAGAGGGCATGAGGGTACTTGTAGGCAGTGGAGGAAGGTCGGTGGATCCAGGGGCATCGACCGACCCTCTGATCCACTGCCTTAGCATCCAATAGTGCTAAGATGGCTCCTGATGGCGGTTAGAGGTATGGTGGTTGGTTATGTCAGTTTGGGCTCCTAAGTGGCTAATGGTGGGCCCTTTGATCCATGGGAGGCTCCACCGAGGCCCTTGCATGTCACTGACTTAAATCAATGATGGAGGGGCCTTCTCAGGTGTTTCTTGCCCTTCCACATATTAGTGATGTGGCAAGGGGGTGGGGCCATCGGGTGATGCCCAAGGTGGTCGGCCAACCCCACCAAGTGGGCACAGGCCTACCAGCCACGTCCAATTGCCTCTTTTGTACTTGTTTGGTCAAATTTTGCTTCAATTTCCTGCATTCTACTCATTCTCCAAGTACAAGTGGAACTAGATTATTTATAAACAAAATTTAGTGCATGTGATGTGTTTTACCTTGATTTTGGGTGGAAGGTTGATGGTCTAATTAGGTTTTAGTGACCATCAATAAGCACGACCACCATGGTGTGTAGTAGAAGTGTGGCACTAAGGCCTGGAAGAATCACGTTGTCATCTTGAGATATCCAAGCTCACCAAGGACTTCATTGTGAGGTGGTGCTATCTCTTCCTGCTCCTCCTATTAGAGTCTGAATATGGTGGAAATTCTAGAGGTGGAAGTGGGCCTCTAACCTCAAAACCAAGCTACCGATGTAGATCGTTGATGTCCTTCCTCACCTCATAGGCAGTGGTTGTTGCATAGGAACACATAGAAAACGTATTCTTGATGAGCAAGTTCTTCAACTTGCTCCCCCTAGACCTAGGGTGAGAGGTAGATGGCCTCGAGCTAGGTGGTGCTGCTAAAGAGGCACCATGAGTTGGACAAGTTGTAGTGGATGCCTGTGGGATGCCACGAGCTGCTGCCATGATGCTAGAACATCTCTTCTTATGATCACTATGAATCAACTGCTTCAACTGATAGGAATGATGCTTCACATCCTTCTTTAAAATCAAAATGATCACCTCACAATCAAAAACATAATGTAAGGAGCATAGGGCAATCCATTCCTATCATCATCCAAAGCTAAACTCAAATCAATCCAAGTGAACCTACTCACTAAAAACGCCTCACTCCTAGGGGCTAACCTTGCCAAAAGATTCTTGGCATACACGTTCATATGATTTGAATCTCCACCCTTGAGGTTGATTGTCTCCCTGAACAAGTTATTCATCACATAATAGTAGGACTTGAGTGAGACAATCCTACCATCAGCTAATCTCCTATCCTCATATGCATAAGCAATCTCCTCAGGCTTCATCAACAGCTCATTCTGCACAACCTCTACATACATGTCACTTCTACCAAAGCCAATTATCCTAGCAAAAGTAGTGAAGTCAATTCTATAGTGAACTCTCTCTATCATCCAATAGAAATAGTTAGGTACACATCATGAAAGAAGGTGGCATAGAACTGAGCTAAAACCTCCTTTTGTTCGGGGAAAAGGTTATCAACTGGTTTATTGTATTTATGAATAATATTATACTCTTAGTTTATTATATGTTAATATTTTTAACTAGTAATTACCATATGAATGAATTTGTATTAGAATCAGTGCCAAAGTGACAATAATGATAAGGGAATATCAATAGAAGAAATAGAAGCACAAGCAATATTCCCATAATGCTTCGATAATGATTCTAAACAAATAGAGTTACACTTTTCCAATGACCACTGAATAAAATATATTAGACTTGTAATGTCAGTTATTCAAGATGCATAATATTGTAACAATGTAATATACAATTACATTTCTCTTCCTTTTAGTTTGATTCTTGTCAAAGGAATTTCACCACAAGTATAATAACAAAGGAACAAAAGGTATCTATGAACCACACTTTTGCTATAATTATAGTAGAAATTTTGCCTTATTATTTCCTACTTAATTTTATATGTGTAAGGGTCATCACAGAGGTCTTGGAGAGACTTCAAACATTGCACAGCTATAGGTGGCTCGCGACAAGGCTACATGCCACAAGCGTCAAACACATAAGAAACCTCCTCTAATGAAGGTATACGGACATAATATCACTTGTTCTAACTGCATGATCTTCATATACAACTAAGGGTTGTTGGTCACTGAGAGATTATGTCAAATTAACATAGGTTGGGTCCATAGTGCTACTAATGACTTCAAAATATCTGAATAAGGCTAATGTGGAATATGCAACTCTTTTGAGCAATGATCCAAAAGCCAATGTTTGTGGAGTTAAGATAGGAAATCAATTCTACAAAAGTGTGTACCAATCATCTTATAGCAAAAGATGAGTCGTTAGTGAGGTCCATGCCTGGGTGCAATAATATTGGTGATGCCCATGCCAAAGGAGTCCCGATTGCTTGGCCTTTGATATTTGTATGTTCAAACTAGCTAAACTTTACATCAATGTACATACATGGCCTATTTTGTAATGTGATAGCTTACATTTTCTTTGCAGGTTGAAATGATGAATGGTTGAATTTCTACAACTTACATTTTGTTTGCGTGTTATGGGAGGAGCCTCTGTGTTCTGCCGAGCCGACCATTTTTGTGGAAGTTGAGGGGTATAAATACCTCCCCTCTCTCCCCCAAAAGGTCATCTTCTCCATTACTCCACTCCAACAACCAGCGGCTCATTTCTCTCTCGTCCATTGAAGTCTCCAAGCACCAAGCTCATTTCTTAGTCATTTTAAGTGGTGTTTGGCCTTGTGAGAGAGATTAGAAGCTTGAGAAGAGCAAGCTCCTTCCCATTTAAGCACTTGGTGAAACCTTAGCTATCGGTGGTGTTTTTAATCTTGGAGCAAGGCTCCTAGCCGGGTAGAGGTTGCTCGTGTAGTACTCCAAGCTTTGTGAAATGCTTCGTGAAGTTTGTATTGCCCAGATTTGCTTAGTGGAACCCTCAAGCTTACTGCTTGGTAGTGGTCTTGAGAAGATGTAGGAGTTGGAAGAAACTTCAAGCCTTTGTGGCTCACTCAACAATGTGAACTTATGCAAGCCTTGGTGGCAAGCTAAATTCCAGGATAAATATTGTGTCTCTTGTGTGTTGTGCTTTTGTTGATATTACTTGTGTTTAAATTGAGTTTCTAGAGTTTGGACCAATCTACTTTCTTCACATGCTCTAGGTATGCTAATCGGCTTCGAATTAGTTGTGATTTTTTTAGAACCAGGCTTACAAACCCCCCCCCTCTAGGCCTTGGTAGATCCTTTCAACTAGTCTATCGATATACAATGATCAGATTTTTATGTTGAGAAATTTGATCCGAACAAGTTACATTGAAAAAAATAAGTTATGTGTAAATTTTCGAAAGACGTTGAATAACAATAACTTATGTATGTAAGTTATGTTATATGTATAATTTATTATGTAAAGTCGTGCTATAAAGGTTATGTTGAGAAACTGTTATGAATAAGTTTGCTCTCTGTTAGTTATTAACAAAAGTTATGCTATGAAAGTTACGTAGAAAATTTATCATGATAAAATGCCTATAAAATATCATTAAAAAATAAATTGACAAAGTTATGATTGTAAGTTCTGATAATAAATTATGTCTCATAAAAGCACAAAAGTTATGTGTGTAGCTTAGTAACTTTTAGAATTGGAAAGTTGCAGAACCAATTTTTCTAAAAAAGGAAAAAGTTGTGATATTACGTGATGGTTCGCTAGATGCCTAGATTCTAAGTCAGCGAAGGTTGCTGATTAGCTGCGTTAACCATCGCATGTAATAGGACCATGGTAGATTGGCCTCGGGCTTATCCGATTTGTGCACTTTCCTGGCACACGTTGTGTAAATCAAATTATTGTTCCTTTCTTCTTTATGAGTATTGTTATTTACTCCGTCCATTCTAAATTACAAGACATTTTGGCTCTTCTAGAATTCTACTTCATAACGAAAAGGTATAGTACAACATGTAAGTAGGGTTTAAATGTTGGCATTGTTGGTTCTTTGTTTTGCTATTGAATTTATTTACGCTCTCCGCAGTGCAATGGTTCCACTTGAAGGGTCCAAACAGCGCATGAAGAGCTTGAGGACGGGAAGCCTGCTCTAAAGATAGCAGAGGCAAAGGTGACCATGCCATAAACATAGCAGACGAATCCCTTTAGCAAACACCGAGGTATAAATAGCTCCAAGTGCCCAGGCAACGAGTGACACAAAGCATCATATCACGACAAATAAAAATGGCGTGCACAGACAATGCGATGAGAGCCTTGTTCCTCCTGGCGCTCGTCTGCGCCGCGCACGCTGGGACGGACAAGAAGGAGAGCTCCTCCGCTCCTGCCAAGGAGGGCGGCGACGCGAAAGCAGCGTCCGGGCCCGGCGGGTCGTTCGACATCACCAAGCTGGGCGCCTCCGGCAACGGCAAGACGGACAGCACGAAGGCTGTGCAGGAGGCGTGGACGTCGGCGTGCGGCGGCACCGGGAAGCAGACGATCCTCATCCCCAAGGGCGACTACCTCGTCGGCCCGCTCAACTTCACCGGCCCGTGCAAGGGCGACGTGACCATCCAGGTGGACGGCAATCTGCTGGCGACCACGGACCTGAGCCAGTACAAGGGTAACTGGATCGAGATCCTGCGCGTGGACAACCTGGTGATCACCGGCAAGGGAACGCTCGACGGGCAGGGCCCCGCCGTGTGGAGCAAGAACTCGTGCGCCAAGAAGTACGACTGCAAGATCCTGCCCAACTCGCTGGTGCTGGACTTCGTGAACAACGGGGAGGTGTCCGGGATCACGCTGCTCAACTCCAAGTTCTTCCACATGAACGTGTTCCAGTGCAAGGACATGCTGATCAAGGACGTGACGGTGACGGCGCCCGGGGACAGCCCCAACACGGACGGCATCCACATGGGCGACTCGTCCGGGGTCACCATCGTCAACACCGTCATCGGCGTCGGCGACGACTGCATCTCCATCGGCCCCGGGACCAGCAAGGTGAACATCACCGGCGTCACCTGCGGCCCCGGCCACGGCATCAGCATCGGCAGCCTGGGGCGGTACAAGGACGAGAAGGACGTCACGGACATCAACGTCAAGGACTGCACGCTCAAGAAGACGAGCAACGGCCTCCGGATCAAGGCGTACGAGGACGCCGCCTCCGTGCTCACCGCCTCCAAGATCCACTACGAGAACATCAAGATGGAGGACTCCGCCAACCCCATCATCATCGACATGAAGTACTGCCCCAACAAGATCTGCACCGCCAGCGGCGCCTCCAAGGTCACCGTCAAGGACGTCTCCTTCAAGAACGTCACCGGCACCTCCTCCAGCCCCGAGGCCGTCAGCCTGCTCTGCTCCGACAAGATCCCCTGCACCGGCGTCACCATGGATAACGTCAACGTCGAATACAGTGGCACCAACAACAAGACCATGGCCGTATGCAAGAACGCCAAGGGCAGCGCCACAGGCTGCCTCAAGGAGCTCGCATGCCTCTAGACCTCCATCGACCGATCTCTTTAGTTAGTTTCTCTCCTCCATCCATTGCCCATTAATTGCCATCCATTGGTAACGAGCTAGTACCATCCATTGGTTTGTTTCTTCATATTCTTTCTCTCTTCAGACATCGAGTGACATTGTGTTTGTTTTTTTGACACAAGAATGTAAAATCTCCCATCCTGCATTGCATGTACCCGACCTCCAGGGCATGCCTTTTTTTTTGGCAAGCACGACGTAGCACTATCAAAGCTAAATTTCACCGAATCTCTCTCTATATATATACATACACTCGTAGGACGTCCGCAAAACCTGCTTAAAAATCTCTTGGTAAATCAGGGAACTTTACTTTCATAGAAATTTTACAGTGCTTGGAATAAATGGCAGCCATTCATTTGGTGAGATCTAATGGTTAAAAAAATAGGAAGATCCTATTAAGACGAACTTAAGTTCTGGGCTGGAACCTAAATTTAGTGGGCCAGGAACTAGTTATAAATTTATTTCGAAGGGTATAACTGTACTTCCAACGCAAACAAATCCATGATCCATAATACAAAAACTCCAGAGCTCTCCCACTAAATTCAATGGCGATGGAATCTCTGTATTCTGGACGGTGGTGGTGGCCGTCCATCCCCCTCACTGCCGATGCTCCCTTTCCCTGGTTTTGGGGCCCTGCTCAGCTGAACACCTCGCACATGGCCATCGACTGCCCTGGCCATCTGCTCCCTGGCTTGCGCATTTCTTATTACACAACTACTACGATTTCTTTCATCACGACTTTCATTGCTCTAGACATCACCAGCAGGCAGCAGTAGTCAACTTGCTGCTGCATAAAACAGAGGAGAAATCAACATGTTGCGGCTGCAAGATTATCACACGCCTGTAACACTGGAAAGATCTTGTTACGGATCCGTGTAGTGAGATGTTTCTGCAATATGAAATACGTGCTTTGAATAGGCAGAAATTGTGCTCGCAAAAAATGAATAGGCAGAAATTAGCTAACAGAAAACAAACTGGATTCCAAGAGCAATGATCGAACAAGATGGAACCTTTTGTTTCGTTGGTGTTGTTAATACTGATCAAGAACCATCCTGGCATGCAGTGTGATGAAAGTATGGGTACCAGCTTGATAACTCATGTTAAGGCACCAAACCACAGCATACATAGATTAAAATCAACCAGGATTGAATTTCTATATTAGCTTGTTGCGACAGAGACAATCACAGCAGGGATAGCTCCTGCCGCCACTCCTTCCTTGCCCTCTCTACCGCAGCCGCAGATGTGAGCAGCCAAAAAGTCCCCAGAGTCACCATCTGAGGTGGCGCAGGAACCCTTGTATCTGCTCCTTCCTACCCATCCACCAACAGCGCGGCCCTCCGCTCCCGCGGCGTGCCCCTCCGAGAACATCCAAGAAACTGCTGCGGAGGACAAAGAGGAGGATTGCGCGGGCGCCGTGGGCCAATGAGGACACGAACCGGGAATGGGCAGACGTGATGCGTAGGGTGCTCAGATGAGCCGGCGGCGGCGACCACAGGAAGGCCAGCGACAGCATGGGCTTCAGATCATGCTCGAAAAAGGACTGTGCCAATTACAGTCAATGGCCTCGATTAATTAAGAGTACTAAAATACCCTTGTTTATTATTAGTTGATTTTTCAATGACCGATGGCTAGCAATTTTTCTTTGAGAGGAACCGGTGGTTCCTCCCAAGCATAGTAACAAGCCTCTTACTTTTATCTTCCTCCAGTAGCTTTTAATGGTTAGAGCACCTCTAGGAACTTTGTATAACTTACTTGCTAAACCAGTGACAAGTTAACAAAATAAGTAGCAAACCTCAACTTAGCATAGCATCTCCAATAGTTCCCGAAAGAGCAATTGGTAAATCAATGAGTTTTTCAAGTGGCTAACAAAACTTGGGAACATATTTGTTTGGTTTCTCCAACAGTTTTCAATATCTCGGTCCTAAAATATAAAAAACAATTTTACATCATTAATCCCGGACTATTTCTAAATCATCCTAACAACTTTTATATTTTCTTTCTCTCTTATATATTAAATATTTACATTAGGAACAGTGTCCTACTTTTTATTTTTGCCCACGTCCTTCCACCTTAATATTAGTCAATGGATATGCATACGTGCGCGTATTTATCAGCACGATTAGGTTGAGCTTCCCAAGTGCACAAAGATTGAAAGTTGTTGGAGAGCAGTTTTCTCAATCTTGCTAAAAAACCTAAGATCCCTTCTTATTAACCCGCTAAAACTACTTTTTAGCAGGAAATAGCGAAATAAAATTCTATTCTTAATACAAGGACACAGGTCAAGGATAAGGGAATCTGATTTAAGAACATGCCTAGAGCCATTGTGATACAACCCAGATTACTTTTGTTTATTTACTAATGAGTGTTCATCAATGGAGAGAGAGATCCTACTCGAACCTAGCTACTCGATCAGTACAGATTTAGGGATGCAAACACACTGGCACAGTACGGGGATTTGTTGTGGTGTTCTAGGAAAATAAAATCCATGATCATGAAGTGAAAAGCATGTGGTAACAAAATCAAATCAAAAGTACAAAACTATCTCGATTAACTGATCAAAATCTAGAGCATGATGTTTTCAAGTCATTGATGTATACAGATGGGCTGGCTTTTCACAGAAATGGTTATTCAAGTGTACCGGTATGAGTTTATGTGGGTCCTACTCATAAACTTTTGAAGTGGGTCTTTTTGAAAAGTAGAGAGGATATGTAGGCGTAACCGATTCCTTTCTTTGCTTATCTTGGGCCTGCTCTTCTGGCTTACCAGCTTACATATGCTTCCTACTCTTGGCTCAACAGTCCAGCCTACAACAGCCAAAAGTCTACCCTTAAACCACACTATGTTAGGGCTTGTTCACTACCGGAGACGGCCTCTTTGCCGAGAGCCTCTGAGTTTGCCGAGGGCTAGATTTCGGGCACTTAACAAAGGGGGTCTTTGCCGAGGGCCAGCCCCAAGAGCCCTCGGCAAAGCTAGGCCCTCGACAAAGAAGCCTTTGCCGAGAGCCTGGCCTTTGGCAAACAAACGACCCTCGGCAAAATAAATCTTTGCCGAGTGCCTAGCCCTCGGCAAATTGGCCCTCGACAAATATGGTCGGATGGGTCACGGTGGCCACTGGCGTCAGTCTTTGCCGAGTGCCCTCCGTCAAACACTCGGCAAAGATTTTTATTTTTTAACTATTCTTTGCCGAGGGCCATTCTCCAGGCCCTCGGCAAAGATTTTTTATTTATTTTTTAAATATTCTTTGCCGAGGGCCATTGGCATGCCCTCGACAAAGATTTTTTATTTTTTTTTAAATATTCTTTGCCAAGGGTCATTGGCCAGGCCCTCGGCAAAGACCCCTTTGCCGAGGGCTAGGCTAGACCGGAGTTTTTTTTTATTTTTGAACCCAGTTTTTTTGTGGTGATATAATACATTATTTAAATAATGGATGAACCCAGTTATTTGAGAAGATTTAAATAATGTATTATAGCACCAAAAAAAACTGGGTTCAAAAAACCAAAAAAAAACTCTTTGCCGAGGGTCTAGCCTGGCCCTCGGCAAAGGGGATCTTTGCCGAGGGCCTGGCCAATGACCCTCGGCAAAGAATATTTAAAAAAAAATAAAAAATCTTTGCCGAAGACCCTGGATCTGGGCCCTCGGCAAAGGGCCCAACCCTAAATCGGCCAGCGGCCCAAATTCCCCGCGCACAGACAAAAAAAAATCTTTGCCGATGACCTAGCCTGACCCTCGGCAAAGAGGCTCTTTGTCGAGGGCCTGGCCAATGGCCCTCGGCAAATAATATTTAAAAAAAATAAAAAATCTTTGCCAAGGGCCCTAGATCTGGGCCCTCGGCAAAGGGCCAAACCAGAATCGGCAATGCCCAAATCCCCGCCCACGTAACTTGACGCTGCGCCTGCCCACTGCCTCCCACGTGGCCCCACCACCGCCTTCCCCACCCCCATGAGCCCTTCTGCCCCACCACCGCCTGCCCACAGGCCACCACTGGCCCGCCCCGCCTACCAGCCCCGCCCGCCCCCGCCGCCCCGCCTGCCAGCCGCCAGTGCCCGGCCGCCACCGCCACACCACACAAGGCCCGCCCCCCAGCCAGAGAGGAGGGAGGAGGAGCAGGCCACCGGAGGAGCCCCACCCCGCCGCTTGTCTCAACCCGCCGGAGGTGCCCCGCCCCGGCCGCGCCGCCCACCCACGCCCACCAGCCGGCCCGCCCTGAGGAGGAGGAGAACCTCCGCGCCATCTGTCGGCCACCGGAGAAGGAGGACCCCGCGCCACCCGCCAACCCCGTCCACACTGTCCGCCGTGCCCGCCACCGTTCTGAGCAGAAGGTGGGAGAACGGGAGGAAGAGGAGAAGGGGAACAGGAGAAGAGAGGAGGCCGAGAAGAGAGGAGGAGGTGCCCTGCCCCGGCCCCTTGACGCTGCCCCATCCGCGACCCTCGCCCCGTCGGTGGCCTCCGACATCCCTCCGATGTCCAGGTATGCCCTTCCCTCGCTTCATGGTGTACAATGCTGGTGAAGGAGGAGGTCTAGGTGGAGGACGAGGTGGTGGTGGCGTGCAATTGTGGAGGTGGAGAAGGAGGGTAGTGTGTTCATTGAGGTGGTGGTGCTATGGTCGTTGTGGTGGATGTGGTGGTGTGGTCATGGTCGTTGTGGTGGATGTCGTGGTGTGGTCGTGGTCGTGGTGGTGGTGGTGGTGGTGGTGTGGTGGTGGTGGTGTGGTGGTGGTGGTGGAGCTTGTGGTGGTGGTGGTGTGGTCGTGGTCGTGGTGGTGGTGGTAGTGTGGTGGTTGTGGTGGTGGTGGTGTGGCCGTGGTGGTGGAGGTGGTGGTGTGTTGGTGGTGGATTAATATATATCGGCTATCGGCCATCGTGCAGTGTTGTTCCCTTGATATGTGGTTGTCACCATCGCATCGCGCGGTTTTTTCTTGCAGTTTTGGAAACCTCCCGTATAGGGAGGTTCTCACCAAATTTTC